CAGAAGAGGTGATGAACTCGGGACCTGTGGCATGAGTGCTGGATGGCACCAATGGCCCATCTGAATCCACAGGGTTGGGCTTAAAGTTGGGGTGATGGATTTCCTCAGCCCCATCCAGTTGCACACCTTGGGCTGGAGTAGGCCAGGGGTGGAGTAGGCCAAGTGCTGGTCTAACCAGGTTGGGTTTTGCCAAGCCAGTATGAAGAAGCAAAATGAAGGAAGGGAGTTGGAATCTACAGGGGAGGGACTTTTCCTGACTGACAGGCAGTTGCCTCTAGCTGGCCCTGAGGCCTGCACAAGTCTTGCCCCTGATGGCACCTGGAAGCCTACCATCTGCTCCTGCTGTGGGAGGGAGTGGCCTTCCTCTGCCCTCATCTCAAAATTGAACTTCTGAGAACTTCTGGCCACAGGCACCACTAACACCAGGGAAAAGAGCCTCCCTCACAGTTTCTCTGACCTGGAAGACACCTCAGACCTCACATGCCCCAAACTGCTTCCTCCATCAGCCTTCCCAAGCCACTGCACCGCGGCTCTTCCTGTCTGCTCCCCGTCCTCTAGCTGGACACTAGGGCCATCTACCCACCTCCCAACCCCTCCTTACTCCACCCCATCCCACCAGGGCCACCCAAGCACACAACTCCCTCCCTCAGCTACACACCCAGCGGCTCTTCTGGGCCCAGGCATCCTGTGTTGACAGCATGCTGGTTTCTTTCCCACCAATTCCACTCTACCTCTACTCGAGTACTCAAAAAGGCCCTCCACTCGGCTCTGTAAAACCCTGCAGTGGCTCCCAGTGCCCTTGGGGGAAAGGTCAACTGCTGCCCACATTCCAGGCCATCTCTGGCTGCACCCCCTTCCTGTCTTGCACCCCATGCCCTCTCCCTTCACCACCCATCACTCCTTTTTTCTGTGCCGCCCCTCTCCCTAATCAATAGCACCTGCGTGGGCTGAGGCTCACCCACCCCAACCCGAGGTTATGAGCTGCGTAAGGGCCCATCGGAGTCTGGAATCTCCATTCTCCAATGCCTGGTCTGAAGTAGGGCTTCAGTCAGTTTGGGGGGTTTGAATGAGCAGGTGGGTAGAGCTTCTGGAATTAGAGAAGGGGGAGGAATTGAAACAAAGAGACTCCTCAGTCAAGTAGCCTAACTGAACACAAACCCTTACAGGACAACCTAAGAACAATACCTCCTGCCGTGTGGTATTTCGAAGACACATATCACGTAGGGGATGTGCTTGCCCAAAATGTTCAACCTGAATCTAATCAAGATCAAGCATGAAGACAAATCCAGAATGTGGGCTATTTCATAAAACTTCAAAATTAACAATGTCATAAAAAAATTTTAAAAAATCAGGTTATTATTCCAGATCAAAACAGACATGATAACTAAATGCAATGTATGCTCCTTAATTGATAATTTAAAAAGAGAGAGAGAGAGAGAGAGAGAGAGAGCTATAAAAGACATTACTGGGACAAATAGAGAAAGTTGAATATGGATTACATATTAGTCAAACTGAATCCTTACTAAATTTATTACGTCTGATAATAGCATATTACAGTCATTTTGCCTGTAATCCCAGCAGCTTGGCAGAGTGAGGCAGGAGGATCTTGAGTTCAAAGCCAGCCTCAGCAACTTAATAAGGCCCTAAGCAACTCAGTGAGACCCTATCTCCAAATAAAATACAAAAAATGGCTGGGGTGGAGCCGGGGTTGTGGCTCAGTGGTAGAGTGCTTTCCTAGCATGCATGAGGCACTGGGTTCGATCCCCAGCACCACATAAAAATAAGCAAATAAAATAAATGTAAAAAAAAAAAAATTGGACTAAAAAAAGGGGGTGGGGCTGGGGAATGTGGCTCAGTGGTCGAGTGCCCCTGAGTTCAATCCCAGTACCAAAAAAACAAAATAGTATAACCATTTTGGTAGATAAATGCCTTCATCTCAGGAAGTTCATGCTGAAGTATTTTGGGTAAAGTGTTACAATGTCTGCAACTTACTCTTTTTTTAAATATTTTTTAGATGTTGATGAACCTTTATTTTATTCATTTCTTTGTATGTGGTGCTGAGAATCAAACCCAGTGCCTCACACATGCTAGGCAAGGGCTCTGCCACTGAGCCACAACCCCAGCCCTGCAACTTAATCTTGAGAGAGAGGGAGGGAGAATATGGCAAAATGTTAGTGACTGGCAAATCTAGGTCTCTAGGTGAAGGGTGTAGGTGGGTATTCATTGTACTATCAGGTGTGACAAGATAAAAAGTAAGGTGGGAAAAGGAAGGAGGTGCAGGGAGACACTCCAAAGAGAGATGCTGATGGCAGGGGTATGAGGCGAGGCAGAGGATATTCACCCCGCTGAGCAGGCCACAGACTTCTGGTAAGCTGGGCCATGGACCTGCCTCAGCTGGACACTGGAGTCACCCAGGTCAAGTAGGCACACCCCTAGAGCAGCTCACTACCTAAAGGGGACTAGACTCCAGGAAGCAGATGCCCCTATGAGGGAACCCACATGAGTGACAAGGGCTCTAAGGAAACAGTCAGTCATGAGGAAGACCAGCAAGGCAGCCCTCAGCTGGGGCAGGGACATGGACCCCTCCCCACCTATGCCAAGCTGTGGCATGGAGCCAGGTCTAGCCTCAGGCCCACCCCTCCCCCAAACACCCACCCTTAAACACCCCTCTAGGGGCGACAGCCTGAGTGTATCCTCCCATGTGAGAAGCCAGGCTAAATATGGAGCCCCAGACATAAGATGCCGCTCAAAACAGATTTTCCTGGAAAAGACCATCTGGCAAAGGAGGTCTAGAGCGTCATCTGTCACAAGAGGCAGCAGCAATCTCCTGAAATTTGACATCCGGAATGGGAGTGCCTTCACCCCACCTCCCTAGGAGACCCCAATTTGGTGCCTCAAATTCCCCCAAGGTCACCCCCTTTCCCAGTTGATGAGGCACTCAGACCCACCTCCCTCCTAAGTTGTATCTCCAAGGAAGAAGAGAAGGGGCACAAGTTTGAGCATTAGAAAGTTCTTCCCAGGGGCAAATCTGGCCTCTGCCACTTATTTACCAGGCAACTTTGAATAGGCAACTTCTCCAGAGCTCCAACATCCTTTCCCACAAAATGGGAGTAGTGGCAGTGCCCCCCTCTACAGGCTGCTGTGTGTTGGACAGCACCTAGCACAGTGGTGGCGCTTAATAGGTGGAAGCTGGACAGTGTGGCTTCCTTGGGCCCTCTCTTTCAGTCCTGTACACAGCAAGATGTCATTCTTTTCAGCTAGCTTTGCACCCTCCTTTCAGAGAAGACCCTGGGAGGCACCAAGGGTTCTGCCCAAGGAGTCTGCACCCACCACATAGCTGCCAGATCAGGGCATGCAGCAGGAGGGACACCTCTCAGTCTACCACAGGAAATCCCTGGCACTACAAGGTACAAATCACCTAAGCACAGAGACTTCAGCACTGCAAGAGGCAGCAGTTGGGGAGGCTTTCCAAAGACACCCCCGCCATCCTTCCACCTTTACCTGGGCCCGCACCCACAGACTCACCCCTATGTGTGGGAACCCTCTGAGGGTTCTAACCACACCGGATGGGCCTGCCATGTTCCAAAAGGACCAAACTTTGTAGTAGGTAGCCCCACTCAAAAGCCACTGTCCCCCACTGTATATTGAGAGGAAGGGACTTTGGTGAGGGCAGGTCTCTCCTCCAGAGACATGAAGAAGCAGGGAGAGAATTGGCCCATTTTACTGATTCAGAGAACTCTGGGCCATAGAACCTGTAGCTTCCCTGGTACAGAGTTCCTAACTTCCCAGGGGAGGGACTGAAAGAAGAACTGTATCTGACCAGGGTCAGCAGTTGGACTTGGAGGTGGTCCCAATGCCCCTTACTCACTATCCCTTGAGCTGCCTGAATAGTCCCCATTAAGTAGCTCTTGTCTGGAGCTCCTGGGTCTAAAGGAAGGAGCTGGAGAACCCAGGAAAATTCAAATGCCTCTTCCTACAAGACCCAAGCTGCCCATCTGTGCTGGCCAAACCCTGGCCCTCTCCGGAGTCCCCATCAAGCTCAGCCTGGTTTATCCTGAGCCCAAGAGTCTTGAACCCTCTTCCATTGTGACTGCTGCATCTACCCCCAGTTCTCTTCCTAGGCCCCACAAAATGGCCCTAAGACAAAGGGGTGGGCATAGGGGGGGTCCATCTGTGCAGAAACAATACCCCGGGTTCTCATTCCCAGGAGCTCCCAGATCCTTCAGGAACAGAAGGAATCTGAATTCCTCCTCCTAGGAGAGAGCCAACTGGGCAGGGTGGTCCCCACATCTGGACTGCCTGCCCCACCCAGACCTAGCAGCCGGCTCCAAGGACCCCTCCCTCACTGCTGCTGCCACAGCCATTGTGGGCCTCCTCGGTCTTCCCTGCTGCCTGCCACGCCCCCACGCTAGCCCCTGCTCTAGCGGCAGAGCTGGGGAGGCCTGGCGGCCAAGCTCGGCTGTCAAAGTTAGGAAACTGGAAACAGAAATAAATCCTCAAAGCTGCTCGGTTGGGAAGGTGGCTGCTGGCAGGCCCCGTCACCCAACACCCGGATCATGGGCCACCAAACTGCCACTGGCACCCCATCAATGCACACATTTACACTCAGATTATACAAAAGGGGGAGGGGGATCAGGAGGCAGAACCCGGGAGACAATCGGGCTGGCCAACCCTCCCTGCAGCCTGGGCTGGGGCTCTTAGCAGCGCCCCCACTCCCTGGCCCAGTCCCGGCCATCTCGGGCTTCCTCTCTCGGCCCCATCTCCATGACAACCGTATCCTTCGGATGCTCCAGCCGCCACGGAATTGATCTCGAAATGTAGCTTTGTTAGCAGACCCTAGCAGGCACAGAGGGCGGAGGGCGGCTCCCGCCACCCAGCATGCGTGCCCCTCCCCACCCCTCAGCGCCCGCTCCGGTCCCCAGTTCGGCCCCGAGAGGGGAGGGGCGGGGTCCCGGAGCACGCGGGCTCTGGGGACAAGGTGGCCCCGCGGCCCCACTCACCGCTCCCGGTCCCAGTCGCTGGGTCCGCCTCTCACGGCGGGGCCATGCGGAGGCCGCCAGTGGACGACCGTCCCGCTCCGCGGCCGCCTGTCGGAGCTCCCAGCTCCCGCTTCTGTCTCTTCAGGTGCTGGAGCCGCGGCTGTGGAGAAGCTAAGCAGAGATGGGGGGACCCACGGCAGGAGGGAGGGAACGAGGAGAGGGGAGGGAGGGAGGAGAGGGGAGGGAGGGAGGAGAGGGAAGGGCGGGGAAGGGCGGGGGGGACTGCAGGAGGGCGCAGAGCCGGGAGGTGACAGCGGCCACCCGGCTGGTCCGTCCGCGGCGCCTGGGCACCAAGCGCTCGACCTTGTGCCGGGGGGTGGGGGGGGGGGGCCTGGCTGGGGAGGGCGCGACCAACCCAGTCCCGCACAGCGCCGCGCTGGGCCCTTTAAGAAAGAGGGGGAGGGGACCGCAGCGAGGTTCCGCCCCCTCCTAGCCCCGCCGGGCCCCGCTGTCCCCAACCCCCGGAGCAGACCTAACCACCACCCCCTCGACAGGCCCTCCAGCCTCAGACCCTGAGACAGTGTGGCCTGTCCTGCCCCTCTCCAGGTGAAGCAGGGGACAGGCCATTGCCCTCCCCCGGGGGTCCGTTCATCGACTGACTCCTGCCCTCCATCCTTCCCCCCATCCTTCCACCCTGGAACTCACAAGGGAGGAGTGAGGAGTGTGGGGGTAAGGTGGAGGATCTCAGAAAGGAAAATTGAGCCCTTGAGACCTGCCAGAACACACGGAGCTAGAAACAGACCTGGAGCATGGGGTGACAAGGGGAGTTGGGGACAGAGCTGGAGGGGAGGGGCAGAAGAGAGACAAAGGAGAGAGACCCTGAGGGAAGTGGGGGGTGAGGAATGGCCAACCTAGTATGCAAGTCCGGGTGCCAGATCAGGGGACACTAAACTAGGCAGATAGAAGGTGATATGGAGAGAGTGCTCTGGGCTGTGGACACCACAAACCAAGGCACCTGCCCTAGGGACTCTATCCCATGGCTAGTCATGACCTTGAAGCACTCCCCCTCACCCCAGGCCTCCAGCTCCAAAGAAGGTTGGCCAGAATGTACTTCAACTAGACACTAGAAAGAACTTTCTGACTGTGAGGCTCTGACAGAGCAAGATCCCACCTCTCAGAGAAATACTAAAGTGCCCCCAACCATGGGAATCTAAGGAGCCTAGGGGCTGGCAGGTAGGAGGGGAGGCTAAGCCAGCCCAGACCCTGGGAGAAGGGAAATCAGGTTGGAGTCAGGCCCTGTCCACAAGGAACCCAATTCCCAACTCTCCCTACTTCAGCCCCCAGAGGCTATTCACCACACCCAGGTCCTTCCTTTCTCCAGACCTTTGCAAACATTCCATTCCCTGCCTGGGGGGCCTTGATCCTGCTGTGGTCAGTGAACTGAACTTCAAATGCCTGCTTAAAGGCCCCTTCCTCCAGGAAGCCTTCTCTGATCCCTCATATAGGGACACACAGGCATTTCAGGATTTTCTTCTTAGAGAATGAGAGAGGATTTGCTGGCCTATGAGGCATGTCTGTCATATTCAGGAAGTGTCTAAACTGTGATTAATCTCCCCCTGGAGAGAGCTGGAGCTGGGGTTTCATCAACCACGGTCACCTCAGCTATTAACTGTGCATCTGCCACATGCCAGAGTTCAAAACACTCCTACACCCAGTCTACAGATAAGAAAACTGAGGCTCCAAGAGCATAAATCATTGGCTCAAGGTCCCAGGAGGTGAACCTAAGGACACTGCAGGGCAGCTGAGAAAGCACCCTGACCACACCCCTGCATTGCCCAGCAAACCCTTAGACATTCTCCAGAGCCCTGAAACAACAGGGGCACTCTTTGTTCAGGTGCCCAGGGTCTTCTTGAAGGGCACAGAGAGTCATGGCTTCCCTGTTGTTCCCTGCAGGCAAGGAGGGCAAGGAGGATTGGCTGTGGCAGGAAGTAGAGGTGATCCTGCTCTGATTCCGCACTCCTCCCCGCAGGACCCATGACCTCAAGTCATAACTGCACCACCTTTCTGGGTTTCTCTTTGCTCATCTGCCCTCTAAGGATGGTAATGGGCCCTCTCTTATGGGATTCGGTGAGGACAAAACAGCTCAGGTTAGAGTGTGGCCTCTGTACTTCCTGGCTGTGTGGCCGTGGGCAGCTGTGGCCCTCCCTGAACCTCACTTACCCCTCTTTCCAGTGGAACTGACTCAAAGGACTGTCTAGGAGCCACAGTGGGCTCTGTAGGGGAGCTCCCTGGGTGCCACAGGCACAGGAGGGAAGAACCTTGCTCTCATTCCTTGCAATTACTTGAAAGAGAGTGGGGTCAGTGTCCCCTACCCAAGTGCACCCTATTCCTCAGCGCCCTCCAGGGAAAGAGGAGTCAGCAGGTGGCCCATTCCTCCAAGTGACTTCCCTTTCTGCCCCACCTCACCTCTTCATCTGAGGGGGTCTCAGGAAGCAGGTGCTGGAGGTGAAGTAAAAACCACACACTCTCACCTTCTCCATGGTTCACTGCTTGGCCTGTGGTCCCTGGGGAGAGCACAGAGAGGTATGGAGGACCCTGGCTGCATTGGGAGCAGCCAGCACCCCTGGGCAGAGGCTGAGGCATAGCTCCAGCCCACCATAGCCTTCTACCTGACCTCCTGCTCCCCAGGCCCAGGCTGGGCCTCCTACTCATCCTCAGCTTGAGCAGGGTGGGACATTCAGGGAGCAGAGGAGGCCAGAACCTGAGGCCCACCTAAAGGACCTCATCTTCGGTCCATCCCTGGGCCCAGGGGAGTCTTGTCTCAGAGGCCCCTAAAACACCCAGTGCTCCAGTCTTCCATCAAACAAAGCCAAACCTGGGAGTGTTCCGTGAGCACCCACAATGTGTGCAGACCTGCCCCACCCTCAGCACCCCCAGATAAGGGCTCCAACTCACCTTTCCAATGCCCTCTCCTGACACTTCAGCCTTGATGTCTAGGACTTTCCCACCTTTGTCCCTCCAGCCATTTCTAAGGACCTCACTTTGCTTGCGCAGTTCCCTGCCTGGGATGCCCTCCCTTCGCCCACCCTCCCTTGCCTACTTCCTCCCGACTCTCCAGCTACTGTCCTGCTTCTCTTTCTTCATTATGGCAAAGCTCCCTGATAAAGTTGTCCATGCCCACTGTCTCCAGTTCCTCTCTCTTGAAGGAACTGATCCGATCCCCCTACCTATGCACACTCCCCAACACCATGTATCACAACTGCCAACACAGCTGCCCCGGGGTGCCTAGGCTGCAGGGAGGAGGAGAGGGAGCTGCTTCCCAGCCTGCCATCTTCTCGCCAGGCCGCATGCCCTGGTGCAAAGCTCTATCTACCAAGCCGGGATGCCTCTTTCTTTACACCAAGGTATCTGCCGTCTGGGTGTCTATAGAGAAAGATACACTTGGGTCTTTGGCAAAAGTGCTAGGTGTGGTGTGCTTGGTGGGCCACGATGCCAAATCCAAAACTCATCCTGCAGACCTCGTGCTAAGTTTCCCGCACTGTCTGACACAGGCAGCCCCCTCCTCCTAGGAACACTTTCTTGCTCTGATTTCTGGACTTCTCGCCATCATGCTTCCCTCGGCCTCCCTGGCTATGCCTCCTCCGCACCATGACCTCCAAGGGCCAGAGCACCTGGAGGCTCAGACCTTGGTCTTCTCCAGCCCACTCTCCCCAGGCTGAGGCCACCCTGGCTTCGGAGCCCAGCTGAGTCCTGCTGAGTCTCAGCACATGACTTTCCAGCCTTGACCCCCACACCAAGGTCAGATCCAGATTCCCAAGTGCTAATTGAAGTCCCTGACTTAGACCCCAACTCAACTGCCCTGGCCCTCCTCTTCCTCATAAATGTCACCACCACCCTTCCATTGACTCATGCCAAAATCCTTCCTCCCACACCAAACTCTGGTCAGATCCTGAGAGGTTGACATTAGAGATGAAGCCTCCTACCTGGTCCCTGGTCCCACCCAGCCCTGCTACCAGCATTCCCCACACAGGAGCCAAGGTGTCCAGCAATGGAAACAGAGCCTTGAAATCCCCTGCTCAAAATGCTCCAATGGCCAGGCATGGTGATGCACACCTGTAATCCCAGCAGCTCAGGAGGCTGAGGCAGGAGGATCACAAATTCAAAGCCAGCCTCAGCAAAAGCAAGGAGCCAAGCAACTCAGTGAGACCCTGTCTCTAAATAAAATACAAAAAAAAAGTGCTGGGAATGTGGCTCAGTGGTTGAGTGCCCCTGAGTTCAATCTCCGGTACCAAAATAAATAAATAAATAAATGCTTAAATGGTTCCCACATCACTCAGATTCACACCAAGTCTTCACACTTCACACCAGATACAAAGACTTACACAACTAGCCGGCTCCTCTCTGACCTCGCTCCTCTCTAGCCACGCATGTCCTCACTGATCCTCTTCTGCACCAGACACACTCCTACCTCAGGGCCTTTGAACTTGCTTCTCCTCTGTCAGGAACACTTTCTGTGTGTCTGAATGGCTCACCCCTCCCTCTTGTCAGTTCTCTGCTCAAATGTCACCTTCCCTGACTACTGTCCCTAAAAGACCACTCCCTCCCTCCCCCAAATCTCCCATTTCCCTGCCCTCTATTCCTCCATAACACATGTTCAGATATTGAATGTTTCCTTGCTTTCTCTGGCTGGCTGCCTCCCCACCACCATGCCCTTCACTAGACTGTAAGTTTCTCAAGGATAAGAAATTTTTAAAATATTTTCTTAATATTTTTTAGTTGTAATTAGACATAATACCTTTGTTTTATTTATTTATTTTTATGTGGTGCTGAGGATCGAACCCAGCACCTCAAAGGTGCTAGGCGAGCATTCTACAGCTGAGCCACAACCCCAGCCCAAGGATAAGAAATTTTTTAAAAATACATTTTTAGTTGTAGATGAATACAATACCTTTATTTTTATTTATTTATTTTTATGTGGTGCTGAGGATCGAACCCAGTGTCTCACAGGTGCCAGGCAAGTGCTCTACCACTGAGCTACAGCCCCAGCCCTCAAGGATAAGAAATTTGTTCTTTCACTTCCGTATCACCCAGGGGCTACAGCTGTGCCTGGTATGCAGAAGGCACTTAGATAATGAATCATCTACAGGTAAGGAAAGAAGATCAATACAGATCCCAAAAGGGTTTTGAAAGAAACAAAACATGAAGGTG